TGTAGATCACGCGCGGAAGCGTTCAAAGAACGGGGATGAGGAAGTCGTACTCGACGTGATCCAAATCACCGGAGATCCTAGCGCCGAACGGACGGCACCTCTGTGTTCAACACACGTACGGTCAGCGTAACGTCTCCTCCTTCTTGATCCAGCAAGGGGGGAGGAGAGGTTGATGAAGATCCAGCAGCACGACGGCGTGGTGGTGGATGCAGCAGTCACCGCAGCAGGGCTTCACCATTCTTCTGCGAGAGGGAGAGGTGTAGCAGGGGAGAGGGAGGCGCCAAGAGTCAAGGGTGCGGCTGCCCTCCCTCCCGCCCTTTATATAGGCTCCCCAAGGGGGGGTGCCGGCCCTAGGAGATGGGATCTCCTAGGGGGGGCGGCGGCCAAGGGTGGAGTGGCCCCCAAGGCAAGTGGGGTGCCCCCCCCACCCTAGGGTTTCCAACCCTAGGCGCAGGGGGTGGGCCAAGGGGCATGCACCAGCCCACTATGGGTTGGTTCCCCTCCCCACTTCAGCCCATGGGGCCCTCCGGGATGGGTGGCCCCACCCGGTGGACCCCCGGGACCCTTCCGATGGTCCCGGTACAATACCGGTGACCCCGAAACTTTCCCGATGGCCGAAATAACACTTCCTATATATAATTCTTCACCTCCGGACCATTCCGGAACTTCTCGTGACGTCCAGGATCTCATCCAGGACTCCGAACAACTTTCGGATTACTACATACTCATATCTATACAACCCTAGCGTCACCGAACCTTAAGTGTGTAGACCCTACGGGTTCGGGAGACATGTAGACATGACCGAGATGACTCTCCGGTCAATAACCAACAGCGGGATCTGGATACCCATGTTGGCTCCCACATGCTCCTCGATGATCTCACCAGATGAACCACGATGTCGAGGATTCAAGCAACCCCGTATACAATTCCCTTTGTCAATCGGTACGTTACTTGCCCGAGATTCGATCGTCGGTATCCCAATACCTCGTTCAATCTCGTTATCGGCAAGTCACTTTACTCGTACCGTAATGCATGATCCCGTGACCAGACACTTGGTCACTTTGAGCTCATTATGATGATGCATTACCGAGTGGGCCCAGAGATACCTCTCCGTCATACGGAGTGACAAATCCCAGTCTTGATCCGTGTCAACCCAACAGACACTTTCGGAGATACCTGTAGTATACTTTTATAGTCACCCAGTTACGTTGTGACGTTTGGTACACCCAAAGCACTCCTACGGTATCCGGGAGTTACACGATCTCATGGTCTAAGGAAAAGATACTTGACATTGGAAAAACTCTAGCAAACGAACTATACGATCTTGTGCTATGTTTAGGATTGGGTCTTGTCCATCACATCATTCTCCTAATAATGTGATCTCGTTATCAATGACATCCAATGTCCATAGTCAGGAAACCATGACTATCTGTTGATCAACGAGCTAGTCAACTAGAGGCTTACTAGGGACATGTTGGTGTCTATGTATTCACACATGTATTACGATTTCCGGATAACACAATTATAGCATGAATAAAAGACAATTATCATGAACAAGGAAATATAATAATAATCCTTTTATTATTGCCTCTAGGGCATATTTCCAACAGTTGCTTATGTTTAGCACTAAAGTTGCCCCATCTAGCATCAAAGTTGCTTTTCAAAAAAAATCAAAACATATCTAGGTGGGGTTTAATTTTGAAGAGCTCGTCGTGGCCTGGCTAGCCAACACGTGTGCATTCAATAGCGTTGGCGTGCAGACTCCCCCAGAAAAGGAAAGCACAAGGATCTCACACCATCCATCCCACATAGTTTAGAAAATTGGGATCACGATAGACGACTTAGATCCCACGAAAACTTTTCGATATTGTAGTCAACTTAGGTCCCTTTATGGACAGGCTCCATAGTATTGCAGGTAGGGATGGAAAAAAGCTCGAAGCTCGGGAGCTAAATGAGTAGCTCGTGACTCGACTCGAATTGAATTGAACTCGAAGGATAACGAGTCGAGCCAAGCTTTAGTTTAAGATCGTTTATAGACCGAGTTAAACGATCCAATATCACAAGTATTCGTCTAACTCATTAGGCTCGGTACAAAAGATCAGCCGCTCCCAATCAAAAAAAATATCAGCCACTCGGCACCTTACGTCCTAGGCGCACAAACACAAGGCCCAACTGATGAAGGCCCAGCCGCCCAGAAGACTCATGCGTTACAAGGAAATTACAATTGTTTGGTGATGTGTATGTTTAATATATACATAATCATTTTTACCATATTTGAGGTTTTATGTTCATATCTCTAACGAGCTTAACAAGCTAAACGAGTCAGCTCGCGAGTAAATGAGTCGAGTCAATCTTGGGTTTGAGCTCGTTATAGTAATGATTCGAGTCGAGCTAACTTGTTAATGAAACGAGCTTTAGCGAGTCGAGCCGAGCTAGCTCGACTTGACTCGAATTCCAGCCCTAATTGCAGGCAATTGAGGACCACTCGTACATAACTTTGTAGCGACGTAGGTAAACTTGGTTTGTGAAGTAGACAACTTGGAAGCCATGTTATGCAACTTTCCACTCTATGGTAAACAACTTTAACAGTATGATAGGCAACTAAACTATTTACAACTTATTTTTCGATATGCAACTTAGCAACCATGTTAACCACCTATTACACTACTGCATACAATTAATTAGGAGGCTACTAGGCGTATTCAGTTATACACAAGGTGCAATTCATCTAACATCAGAGTGGCTCATGTTTAGCACTAAAGTTGCCTCATCTAGCATCAAAGTTTCTTTTGAAAAAAAACTCAAAACATATTCATATGAGATCTAGTTTTGGAGAGCTCGTCACGAGAAACCCAACGATGAAAACAGATCATAATTCCGACATGTGGTTCAAAAATTATAGCTTTTTGAATTTCTAATGCAGGAATCAATGCATGTTACATCATTACTGGGTTCAGACGGTTGGTCAGATGAGGTGAAGAAAAATCAACATATTATACCCGAGGAATCTTTCCATATATACAATAGATGGGTGAGCAGTTTTCTAAATCTGGCATCAATCTGTCCCATCATGCAATCCATGGCTCGCGACGACGGAAGGCCAACTCCACCGCGCGACCCTATCCTGTCCGGCCCCGTCCTTTTGGGGTAAAACGGACAAAGGAGGCGGCCCAGCGCACGACGGCCCGGACCCATCCTGTCCGTTTTGTGTCCGGGCCGACCCATTTCGAGCGCAAACTTGCGCCGGGTTTGGGTCGCGACGGACACCAAATGGACGCGCGCCTCGTCCGCGTCGGGGTCGCGTGGCAGGCGGCTACCTACCTCCCACCCGCCCACATCAATGCACATGAGCAGGCGGCCACACCTGCCATCCGTACGTCGAACGGTCGCCGTCCTTCTTTAAGTGAGAAGCGTGGACGGGTCGTCGTCCACACTGCCCCACGCCATCCCGCTGCCTCCTCGAAACCCGACAGCCCCAGTCCCAAACCCTAGCCAACACCTCGCCGGCCAGCCGCCCGCAGCCATGGGCCGCAAAGGCAAGCACGACCGCGAGGCTGGTTCCTCGTCGGGACGCCGCCGCGGCTCGCCATCGCCACCACGCCGGGCCCCGCGCCGCCCGCCTTCTCCATCACGCCCACGTCCGCCGGCGAGCGCGGCCGACATTACGTCCACTCGTCGGTGTGCCGCCGTTATTGGGAGACGAGGACGCCGCTCCCCTGGAGCGACGTCCATCTCCCCAATAACTAGCATCTCTCCGCCGACCGGGTCCCGATCCCGCCGGTCCCGACAAGCGGTCATGCGCACGACAAGGAGATCGAGCGCCGTTGCCGCCTCCTCCCCGACGACCTCTTCTACGACCCCAGGTACGCCCCCAACTTCGGGCTCTGGGACACCTGGTTTCGTGACGAGCACGACACCAGGCGCGCGTCGTTCTTCGCCGGCACCTCGACGGGGCCGCGGCGGCCACGACAGGAGCGCGCAGCGCCTGCTCCGTAGGAGCGTGGGCGTAGGCGGGTGCGCGGCGTCATGCCCACGCCATCGCCTTCCTCGTCTCCGTCGCCACCTCCCCCTCCTCGCATGACAGCGGAGGAGGAGGCCCGTCTCCTGCAGCGTGTCATGGAGGACTTCATGAACACGCACGACGAGCGGCAGTCGGACGGCCTGGAGGAGACCATGGCCCTCTCTGCCGCCGGGGACGTCGCCTTCCCGGAGCTGCAAATGGCGGCCGTCGCGGAGGAGGCGATGAAGGAGGACCTGCCGGCCGCGTTCCAGCAGCTGCTGGGCCAGGGGTGGGGCTGGTCCTGCACTGCTTCGGAGATGGCCGCCGGCGTGGGCGTGAACTGGTGCCCCACTCGCCGCGGTCACCGGAGCGGGAGGCGTCGCCCCGGGAGGAGGTGGTGCAGGCACCTCCGGCCGTCCAGCCCGCCCCCGTCTACCACGCATCGCCGGCCCACCTGTGGACGCCGCCGGCCTACGTCGACCTCGTCAGCGACGACAACGACACCGGCGGCCAGTGAAGACGGCGACGGCCACGACATCGACGGGCGCGGTAGAAGCGCGCGGGAGGCGTTTTTTTATTTTGTTTTTATATGTTAATTATGAAACTGGGCCTTTTAATTGGCCGTAGAAACTGGACCGTTTTGTGGCCGATCCCTATATATGTTTTATGTTTCTTTAAAATGTGTTTATTTACTTTTTTAGTTTGACAAAGCCGGACACGAGCGAACTCATCTGCGCCTCAAAAAGACAAAATCCGGGCAATTCGGACGTCCGTTTAGGATCGCGCGGTGGAGTTGGCCTAATAACACAGATGCACTTTTAACCATTTGGGATAATGATCAGCCCCAACTCCCACAGAACAGATCGAAGGTCCACCTCAGTTCCCCATTCGGTCTCTGGATCTACCTACAAGTCAACAACCCAGTCTTCGGGTCAAGGTCCGGCTCCGGCAAAACCGCATACGGCAGATCGCCGCTTCTGCTCGCCGCTCTGACCTCTGCATGGGCGCCGCGGCAGGGAAGGCCGTCGAAGACTTGGCATCTGCTGCTGATGGGACAACAACGCGAGCGGAGGATCGGCTCGCCGTCGCTGAGCGCGTCATCCTCGAGTTCGAGCGCCGCCGCTCATCCTGCGACGGCTCCGACGTCGGCATATGGGACGCGCAGGCGACCTGCACCAACCAGGGCCTCCTCGCCGCGGTCGACGAGATAGTCTTCCTCAAGGAGATGCACGCGTTCCCCATGGCCTCACCCGCCGGCCGCCGCATGGACGGCGCCCTCCGGGCCGCCATGTCGTGCCTCATGGAGGAGTTCCTCAGCCTCAGGGTGTGGGACGGTTCCCAGCTCGAAGGCAGGAGCGGCCTCCGCTTCGCCATCGACAAGCTCTCCGTTTCAGTGGCAGCGGCCCGTGGCGCGTCGTCGTCGTTCGCCTTCCTAACCGGCGGAAGCACGGCCAGCACGGTGAGAACCAGCACAGGCGAGTTGAGCTCCCGCACCGTCGATGTACTTTACGCGTCCGGCTCCGGGAGCCAGCCGGCCGGGCCTGATGTCTTCTCGGACGAGGAGTTTCCCGATGAGCTCGACCTGATCTGCCCGGCGAGCTTGTCCGTCCTCCACGAGATCTCACTGCGTGTCATCCGTGCCGGCTATACGAAAGAGCTGCTGCACACGTTCGCCGACGCTCCCTGCGAAGTTTTAGACAGGTACAAACAGAATCCTCTTTAAATTCTTGATTGAAAGGTACAGATCTGAATTTGGCATTTGGCCTCTTTTCTGTCAGAGTTGATGAACTGGAATATTGTGACCATGGATTGGAGCAGGTTCTTGTCGATTCTCCAACTCCAAGTGGGATGCTCTCCGGAGGCCGAGACCGGCGAGTCGATCAGCTATGAGAACGCCGAGTGGTGGACGGCGGAGGACATGATCCGGCGGTGGATCCTGGCGACCAAACTGGTGGAGAAGGCCCTCGTTACTATGCAAACGCAGCTCCACGCGCAGAGCAACGGCGCCTTCGACAGGTTCAAGAACGACTACATCATGGCCATGGCGAAGCGGAGATCCTACATCCTGCTCAGATTCGCAGACGGGTTCACCAGCACGCGCTCGCCGGAGAAGCTCATGTACGTCCTGGAAATGTACGAGGTCCTTGGCAGCGCTGTCCCTGGGCTCGTGCTCGTGCTCACCGGGCAGCACAAGGAGCTCTTCTCCCGGCAGGTCGAGGTGGTTCTCGCAAAGCTGGCGCGCGCGCTGAGGGCCATGATCGGCGGTGCCGTCACAAAGGTCCGAGCCGGCGGGAGCTCTGGGACGCAGGGCGAGACGCGCGGGGTCGGCGCCGGCGTCCATCCGCTGACGCGGTATGCCGTGTCCTGCATCGAGTCGCTGGCACCGCACCGCGGCGCGCTGGATGTGATCCTCGCGAGCACGGGCGGCATCCTCGAGGGCGTGAACTCGTTCGGCGATCTCTTCTCGGAGCTAGTCGCGTCCCTGGAGCCCAAGCTGGAGGAGATATCCACCCTCCGCGGCGAGGAAGGAGGCGGCCTGCGGCACCTCTTCCTGGCCAACAACACCAGCTTCGTGCTGAAACGCGCCGGCGCGATCGGGGGAGACGACGAGTGGGCCGCGTGCCGCCGGAGCCGAGTCGAGCAGCACGTGGCGGGCTACGTCGAGGCCTCCTGGGCGCCGGTCGTGGCCTGCCTCGAGGCCGGCAAGCCCGCCACCAAGGCGCTGGCCAAGTTCAACGCCGCGCTCGATAAAGCGTACAGCGGCCACGTACGCTGCGAGGTCTCGGACCCCGAGCTCAGGGCGGCGCTGCGGAAGGCCGTGTCGGAGAACGTCGTCGGTGCTTATGGCGCGTATCTGCTGGAGCACCCCAAGCTTGGCAGGTCTGCCAGGCACACGCCCGATACCCTGGCCGGGTTGGTGTCCGACTTGTTTGAAGGAGAGGACGCGTCGGGCAATCATTCCTAGCACTGCTCGGAATACGCGGCCGGCTCGGATTCTGTGTTCGATTGCAACCCGAGGCGGTTTCTTTCTTGGGTCTACAAATAGGTCATGAATTTGCAGATCAGGTTACAGACCTGGGCGACAGGGGCCGGTGAACCACGGCGACCGCGCCGGCAAAAGATCGCGGCCTGTGGACAAGCAGCAGAAGCACCTCTATCTTGTTCTAGACGACTGGATCAGGGGCTTCACCATCCGCAAGATCAACATCGACGCCATGGACAGCGGCCCCGACCTGGACCTGGAGCCCGCACCTGTTTATCCCGTGAACTTTTTTTTAACGCAAAGGCAAAAGATTTGTCTCATTCATTAATTAAGGGGGGAGACAAGGTTTAAGTCGGAGCCACATGAGGCCCACTGAATACAAAGTCATTACTCTCGCGGTATCAAATTACTCAGGCGTTTCGCACCCGCTAGCACCCAGAGCCTAGCTTCCTCCTTCAAGTTTCGCAAGATAATTTGGGGGGGCGTCGATTTCTTCTGGAAGACCCTTGCATTTCTCTCATTCCAAATAGTCCAGGTGGTGAGCAAGGTGAGGGTCGCCATAGCCTTGCTGCGCCTGGCCATATGAGTCCACCAACTACTGAGAGAGTGATGAGCCGCCCACTGGTTGGTGTTGATATCGCCAATTTGCAACCAATCTCTAATCAGCCTCCACAACCGCATAGTGTACCGACATCTGTAGAAAAGGTGAGCGGCGGACTCGAACTCCCTCTTGCATAACAGGCAGAGACCACAATTTTGCATCCCGCGCCGCTCTAGGCGGTCAACCGTCCACACCCTATTTTGGATGGCTAGCCATGCGAAGAATTTGACCTTGGGGGGTGCCCAGACTTTCCAAATGACCTTGTTCATGGGTGTGAGGATAGCTCCCATGAATTGCGCCTTATATGCTGATTTGGCCGAGTATTCCCCATTAGGGGAGAGCTTCCAAATGATGGTGTCATGGACGTCTTGGGAGATGTTTATATGAGAGAGCAGAGACCACAGTTCAACGAATTGAGTCACATGATTCCAAGTCAGCTCACAATGCATGTCGATGGCCTTGATCCACGCATCATCGTGCAAGGCCCTACTAACCTTCCAACTTTTGCGCTTCGAGATCTTGTATATGAGGGGTGCAACATCAATTGGCTTCTTGCCGCTGAGCCACGGTGCGTCCCAAAATGGCGTCCTTTCCCCATTGCCAACTGTGATGGTGGTGAGAGCATAAAAAAGATCCATGTCCTCTTTGTCGCATGGGTTTCCCGAACCAACCCAAATCTTCGTTGGGTCATGCCACTCATACCATGGCCAACGCAACCGGAGAGCTCTGGCAAATTTGTCAAGATGTAAGACACCTAATCCTCCTAGGTGAGTAGGCCTACAGACCGTTTTCCAATTAACCTTGCACTTCCCTCCGGAGACCTTTTTCGTGCCCGCCCAAAGGTAAGCACGCTCAATCTTGTTGGTGCTCTGGAGAACGGATGGTGGCACAATGAGTGGGGTGAGGTGGTGGATGGCCTGTGTAACGCCCTCGATGCGGCTATATCTCCCACGTGTCGAAGCACGACTTAGAGGCATAACCGCATTGAAAGCAATGTCGCAAGTGAGGTAATCTTCACACAACCCATGTAATACATAAGGGAAAGAGATACATAGTTGGCTTACAATCGCCACTTCACACAATTACATGAATAAAGCATTACATCATCCAGATACAATCAAGGTCCGACTACGGAACCAAAATAAAAGAAGAACCCCAAATGCGACAAAGGTCCCCGATCGACCCCAACTGGGCTCCACTACTGATCAACTAACACGAAACAACATAAAGGACAAGATCTTCATCGAGCTCCTCCTGAGCTTGGTTGCGTCAACTGCACAAACTCATCGGCACCTGCAAACTGGTTTTTGAAGTATCTGTGAGTCACGAGGACTCAGCAATCTCACACCCGCGAGATCAAGACTATTTAAGCTTATAGGAAGGATGGAGTAATGAGGTGGAGCTGCAGCAAGCGACTAGCATATATGGTGGCTAACATACGCAAATGAGAGCGAGAAGAGAAGGCAAAGCACGATCGATAAAAGTATGATCAAGAAGTGATCCTATAGCAACCTACGTCAAACATAACTCCAACACCGTGTTCACTTCCCGGACTCCGCCGGAAAGAGACCATCACGGTTACACACACGGTTGATGTATTTTAATTAAGGTCGACTTCGGGTTTTCTACAACCGGACGTTAACAAATTCCCATCTGCCCATAACCGCGGGCACGGCTTTCGAAAGTTCAAATCCCTACAGGGGTGTCCCAACTTAGCCCATGACAAGCTCTCACGGTCAACGAAGGAATAGACCTCCACCCGAGACATTCCGATCAGACTCGGTATCCCGGTACAACAAGACATTTCGACAGGGTAAAACTAAACCAGCAACACCGCCCGAATGTGCCGACAAATCCCAATAGGAGCTGCACATATCTCTTTCTCAGGGCACACTCAGATTGTCTTAGGTACGGGTAGGCCAACCCAGAGTTGCCCCTGGTGGTCACCGGTAGCTGACAGTTGGACCAACACTCAGAGGAGCACTGGCCCGGGGGGGGGGTAAAATAATGATGACCCTCAGGAGCGCGACTCCCAAGGGAAAAGAAAAGGCTAGGTGGCAAATGGTAAAACCAATGTTGGGCATTGCTGGAGAAGCTTTACTTAAGGCGAACTGTCAAGGGGTTCCCATTATAGCCCAACCGCGTAAGGGACGCAAAATCCGGGAACATAACACCGATATGACGGAAACTAGGGCGGCAAGAGTGGAACAAAACACCAGGCATAAGGCCGAGCCTTCCACCCTTAACCAAGTATATAGATGCATTAATTAAGTAAGATATATTGTGATATCCCAACAAGTAAACATGTTCCAACAAGGAACAACATCTCCATGTTCCAACAAGGAACAAACTTCAATCTTCACCTGCAACTAACAACGCTATAAGAGGGGCTGAGCAAAGCGGTAACATAGCCAATCAACGGTTTGCTAGGACATGGTGGGTTAGAGGTTGAACATGGCAATTTGGGTGGCTGACCAGCAAGTGGTAGGCATCGTAGCATTGGCATGGCAAAAGAGCGAGCAAACTAGCATAGCAAAGATAGTAGTGATTTCGAGGGTATGATCATCTTGCCTGAAATCCCGCAAGGAAGAAGAACGAGTCCATGAAGAAGACAAACGGACGTAGTCGAACGAATCCTCACAAACGCGACGTTATCGGAACCAACCCGAAGAAGCAATCACCGGAAAAGAAGCACACAACATAGTAAACAACCACCACAACAACATGGCATGATGCACAAACGAGTATGATGCATGTCCGGTTTAATGAGGCATGGCATGGCAAAGTGCACAAGCAGTTCTACAAATTAAGTGGAGATCAATATGCAACGAGTTGCATATTGACGAAACACCACAACAAGTTATTTAGTTTGATCTCGTTTATGTACTCAACAATATTAAATGTTGGTTAACATGGCAAGAGGGTGAAGCAAATGAAAACTACCTATCTAGTCAAGGTTAAATGAGGCCGGAAGCAACGAACAACAATTCCGGTAAATCCCCATAGCATATTTTAGATTTGGTACTGTTCTGCCCTAAACACAATTTTAGAGTTGTTTAAAATGCAAATAAAGGTCACCATGATAAACTAGGCAAAATTCTACCCCATTTACATATATAATTTATTAAAATCGGAGTTACGGTTATTTAGTTAGGAAATAAAGCATTTTAACATGGCATTTGAGCAAATTAATGCAAACAGCATTTTTATCATCTCAAACATAGATGAAAGTTGGATATTATTAATCAACACAAAATTTTGAGCAATTTTCATATATAAAACATTTTAATCCGATGCAGGGTTCGTGAGTTATTAAATGCATGAACATGAGGGTCTTTTCTGTAAAACTGTAAATCCTGGGAAATTAGACAAATTCGCAGGTCAGGAAAAAAAACGATACGGGCCGCATCTACACTTGCTAGGCCAACAGAGGGGGAGCTGCTCACCACGGCACTTGGGCCGGCTCGGTGGTGCGGCCCACGCGGGCGCCGGCGCGGAGCTGGGTCAAGCAGGGGAGGAGAAGGCCGATCGAGGGGGAGGCGCTGGGCCTGGCGCGGTCAACGGCTTCGACGAGGCGCTGCTCTCGCATCTGAAGAACAGAAGCAGCAGCCGCAGGTTCAGGCGACGGACGGCGGGACTTGGCGTGAAGGCAGGGCGGCGACTCGTCGCAGGGGGCTTAGCGCGGGGAGGGAGCGGCGCTGGGGCGGAGGAGCTCCGTTCCCGGCGACGGCAGAGGGAGGCGGGCGACGGCTGTTGCTCCCTGTGCAGCACAAGAGCGAGAGAGAGATGTGAGAGGAGGAGAACAGGGGCACCGAGGGAGAGGGCACGGGGCAGAGGAGGCAGCGGGGCTCGGGCACGGCGTCGCTCCACCGGCGGGAGGCAGGGACGAGGCCGGGGCGCAGCGAGGTCGGGCGTCCATGGCGCGGCAGCGGCTGCAGGGAGGGCCGGCGAGGAAGGAGATCCGGGCGGCGGGCTGCTGGCTCGGAGCGCTGCTCCCTGGCTTCCTGCGAGACGAGGCAGAGACGAGAGAGGGATTTGAGAGACAGAGAGCAAAACAGGAGAAGGAAGGGAAGGGACGGCACGGGGCTCATCTTGCCAGCTGCGGGTTCGGTCGCCGGTGGCCGAGGAGCTGAGGATCTCATGGATCGAGGGGAGGAGGCTGATTGCGAGGGGATCGAGAGGAGGAGGTGGTTGCCGGCTCCGGTTGGGCAGGTGGATTGGGAGTAGATCCCAAGGAGGAGGAGGCAGGAGGAGTGGTGGCGGCGGCGATGGGTAGGATGGGACAGGGGCCTAAAATTTAGGGTTGTTGCCTAGGATTGGACTATAAATGCATAGTGCTGGATTTGGTTAGGGGCTATTTCGTCCCTCCGTTCGAAATCGGACGGTCGGGAAAAAAATAGGCTAGGGAGCCCAATTAACAAAACGGAGATGTTTTGTAGACGTTAGGGGATGATCCGGACACAACGGTACGACTGCCCGGGTCGGGTTCGGGACAGTTTCGGACGCGCGCGCGAGGAGGGCTGCAGGCTGACGAGAGAGGTTAGGTTGGGTCTGGCGGATTGTGAAGAGCGGGTTGGTCTGAGAGAAGAGGGGAGAGATGCAGCCCGGCACGGTTTCCGGAGACCGAAAACGTCCGACGTTAGACCGGCTATAATTGCCGCTATAGTTTAACGGTTGGG